CCATACTCTCCTGCAATCTACTCTCCATATATCAGTCAGAATGATCTCTTTAATATAATGTCAGATCTTTCTAAACCTCATTTCCTCTCTCTCTCTCCCCTTTCCAGATTTACTATACTCCTAGCTGTTCCTTAAATTCACAGGACAGACTCACCTTAATGCCTTTGCACTGGCTCTTTGCTGTGTTCTTTCCCCAGATACCTACTTCATTCCTTTCAGGTCTTTGCTCAAAAGAAGACTATACTATCTTATTTAAAATTACCTTCACACTCCATACCAGCACTTACTACTTATTTCTCATTTTCTTCTACCCTTTTACATTTAGTTGTTTATTGTGTGTATTGTTTCCACACACTAGGATATAAGCTCCAGAGGGCAAGGATTTTTTATTTTTGTTTTTGTTTTCACTGATACATCTCAGGGGCCAAGAGCAATAATGTAATCAACACAGAGTAGGACTCAATAAACATTTGCTACATGAATAAAGTAGATAGAACTGTATAATAATGAAGATAGAACATTCTGTAATATAAATATAATCCCCTTGTAAAATCTTAAATACATTGACAGTGATAGGAGTAATTTTTATATATATTTAATGAGGAAAAAGTCAGTCTCTATGTTCAACAAATCACCAAATAAACCCTAAATTTGTGGAAGAAGCTCTTGACTAAATTCAGCATTATCTCAGGTAAAGATTACCAAACAGAGCATGTAAAATAAAATAAAATATTTATGAAAATCAGGAGTAAAATTCTCAAGGAGTCAAGAATTGTACTGGAGACATCTAATTATCTATAAATAAAAATTGGGGTAAGTAAAAAAAATGAGTCAACTGCAACAGAAATTAAAATTAATTCTGTGTTCATCTCGGAAGAGCTGTACAAATAATACAATCAAAGTGCTGGAGAAACACAAAGTTAAATCACTCTAGGGTATCTGTAAGGCAATCAGTATGTTGGGGATTCTCCGGGTCCCTCGCTCCTCCTTTCTGTGTTTACTGCCTAACATTTGACCACTTTACTGTTGGTTGGCAACTCTCACAAGTGAGCAAACTGGAGAAGCAAAATGAAATATAAGCAAATTAAAGCTACTCCTAACAACAGGAGGAATACGTCAGGATCTTGGTCTGGACTAAGAAAACGTGTATTATTGAAAAGTATTCAGTAAAATGGGTACTAAGCATGCTTTCTAGAAATCAGCTGCTAACACTGGTTTGACCTAATTCAATTAGGGTGACCATTAAGCCTGTCTAAAATAGAGTCAACTGATAGAATAAAAAGAATTCACTATGTATTCTATGAACTGCGCTATGAATGTGCAGAAAGCAGGCAGGAAGAAGGGGAGGGTGAGAGGGTGGAGAAATACAAGACTCTGCTATAGAAATCATCTACAGGAGGTACTTTAACATAATAGAAATGCATCTAATAAAAGCAGGAACTAGGGCCAAACCTGACTCTACCACTTCCTAGCAGTAGAAACTGGATCAGAACATCTGACTCTCAGAACCTCCTTTCATATCTGAAGATAAGGATAGTAATCTGCTCCCGTCACAAAGTTCTGGTGATAAATCACGTCAGTCCTCTACATCCAAATTCTGGTTTCTGCCACGTGTTATCTGCCTGTTTGGCCGAGTGTTGACGCTCTTCTCATTTTAAGCACTTGTCCTTTCTTTCAATTTTGCAAGGATAAAACCCTGAAGAAATATCTAGAGAGTAATTAACATACGGTGAAAACTATCATGGGAAATGTAAAAAAGATAGATTAAAAAGTGCAACTGGGACCTGTTTTAAACGAGAGGCAGCCTATTGGTAAAACTATGTTTTTTTCTTCTATTACACAGGAAAATATTATAAAAGCTCTATTTAAAAAATTACAGCAAGGTGACACTTGGAGGAGGGAGATTTTCATCCTTTTATACAGACTGAAGTACAGAAAACACTTTTTTCTTTGTAAACTTACTTG